GTGTCTCTAGGCTGCATTGTTTTTTATTTTCTCTGCCTATTAAGGAAATGGAAACATATGGATTCCTTGTTTGGGCCCAGCGGACCTTATAGAATAGTATCCCCCGTTGCTTTCCTCACACATCTTCCTGTAATCATATGGCTCTGAATTAGCCTCTTAATCCCCCAGTGGAAAAGCCATAATACAGGGAAATTCAATAAAATGTATATGTGCTCTGAATGCCAAGGCACTTGCAAAGCGGATGGGAATGTGGTCATTCCTCCTGTACGAGGAGAGTGTTGGCTGGTAACTGATCACAACGTGGCTTGAGCAGCTGACGTTCAGTATGGCAGACCTGTGTCCAGCATGCAGAAAACGAAGCTTTAGCCTAGTTGAGAGAAAAGAAAAATGTAGTACTAAATGAAGTACTAAAAAGGAATTGGAGGTACGTATTTGGATCCGGACCCCCAATATAAATGTTTCCAGCTTACATGAGCAGTTCGATACAGAAATTCTAGGGATGCTCTTTAGCTGAAAGATTCAGACTCTAGAACTACTGCAGCAGTGTGCTCTCAGAAATGCATGGAATCTAATATTAAAGGCATACTATAAGTAATATCCCCACAATACGACTCCCATTGTAAGTAAATACCTCATTTACCAAAGGTGTGTGTTTAATTAAGATGCCTTGCTCCAGCCCTCTAGGAAAAGGAAATAAGTAAATGTTCACACAGGAGGCTGCCCACCATCCCCAGCTGAGTGCTTATTACAATTAATGGGAACACATAATGTCTATGTTGGGAAAAAAAACCCACAACTCAAAAAGAGCATCCTTTAGCCAGAGATTATCATTTCGTTGTGCTTCTCCCATCTCACTCAAGGAGGCCAGCCTCCTTAGTGGGAAGGTAAGTGGGTGAAGAATGTGGACACACGGATGTTGGCCCCTCCCACACCTGCTGTGCAAATGGCATCCAAAATGATATGCAGAGTCCAGCTGGGTCCCATGTGCCTCCCTGAGCCCACAGGACCACTGCCCAAGTCTAGAGTAAGCCACAGGATGGAGCCCTGACAAACAAGGCCGACCCCTAATCAGCTTCCCAAAAACAATGGTGGTGTCACTGTTCTATTAGTTAAAAGCCTTTGAGCCCTGTCCCCAAACTGACCCCAGGATCTGAAAACAAGAAGGCTGTAGAGGTGTACGCCCCCTAGTGGAAAATCATCAAATATGATGGTTGTCTGCTGGAATGGTTTCTTCAGGTGAAGAGTAAGGGAGAAAATACCAAGAAGGTTTGAACCTAGGGCTGAACTTGGCTTTTCTCTTCTTGAATTCATGAGTCCAATTCTATCCTAGCTTCTTCTCTAAGGGAGGAGATAAGTTTATAAGGATGTTGCTGTGTCGTGGAATAGAAATATTTTAATTATGCCAAGATAACTTCTATTTGTTTGTGTTACTGAACAGTTGTTTAACTATGTAAAGTTACTTTTGTTTACATTTGTTACATTACTTTTGTTTATGCTGCACTTGTTTAATTATGTAAAGATGTATTGCTGTTTTCACCTTGCCTTCCTAAAGTGTCTGATTGGTCTAATTAAAAAGCTTAATGGCCAATAGCTACGCAGAGGAGGGATGGGAGGTAATGATAGGCAGAGAGAAAAAGGGAGACAGACAGACAGACAGTCAGGGGCCAGCCTGATGGAAGGAAGCAGGAAAGCAGGCTGGACAGTATGCAGATGAGGTAAATTAGCCTCTGGGCAGCACATAGATTAATAGAAATGGATTAATTGAAGCTAAAGGGGAAAACGCCTATGCTAAGGCCAAACATTCATAATTAAAAATAAGTTTCTATGTCATGATTTTGGGGCTGGTGGTCCAAGAAAACCTGTTGTACCCTTGACTAGGGACAATGGAAATGCTCATTTTGGTTTTGTTTTGTTTGGGTTTATTTTTGTTTGTTTGTTTGGTTTGGTTTTTTAAGACATGTAGCTCAGGATGGACTTGCCTTCACTATGCAATGCAGGCTGGACCACAACCCCCACCCCGCACCCCATGACCACACAAGATGATACCAAAACAATCACTGGCAGCCTTAACATTCTAGACCTCCACATACAAAGGACTAAAAGCTAACTACTAATAAGTGCTGAAGTATTCATCACAGGCAAGCCCAGAGGTGACTTTCCAACAACAGCGTCTACCCCTCCGCCCGTGTATGAACCCCTCCCTTCTCTCTGTGTTCATTCAACAGATCCCCGGCCAGAAGAGCAGGAAGAATTGCAAATGTCTTGGCTTGGAGACATTTTCCTCATCTGGTTTCTTATTGTTACTAGAATTGCAGGGTAAATATTAATTAAAATAACCTGATGCATCTTTTATCTTGACAAATAGCGCATCCCTCATCTTTACATAAACAAATTAGAGAAATCATACAAGGATATATGGTTCTAGAGGGAGTAAGAAAAGCAGGCGTTTCACTGTGCACTTGATATACGCCACAAGTTATCCTGTGAGCCCGTGATTGCAACTATTCCAAATGTAATTACCACAGTCACCCCCCACTGGGCAGGGACTCTTAAGGTCTGTTCCGCTTCTAGTGCGTAGCTGGTGCTCAATAAATGACAAACGCAATCATAATAATTAATAATTCATATATTAATAAATCATAATAATTAATAATTCATATATTAATAATTCAATCCCTTCCCCCCTCGCTCAGTAATTGTCCGCCAACATGCCATGTATACGTGGGAACGAGGGTTACCAGATGCCCCAGAATGTCTCCACATTTTCATAAAGCTGTGAGCAAAGGTCACCCTAAGAGCTGGTCACAGCAGCCAGTTAGTCTCACAGAGATCACTTCTTTAAGTGCTTCATTTTCTTCTTATCTCCTTCGTATTTCAAATGTTTGTAGCTGTCTTTGATACCTCATTGGAGAAACAAATGGCCTGTTGCCAAACTTGATGACTTCTGGGGTCACCCTGCACTCCCAGAGCCAAGACACTGGGAATTTCTATCTGACCCCAAGCACCCCTTGCTCTAGCCTGAGAATCTGCAAAGAGCTCCAGCAACCCCTCCGAGGATCCTGACACCGCCCACAGGGGGAGGTCCTCTGGTGTATGTGCCCAGCCTGTGAGGGGGGGAGTGAACTGCTGAACTCGGGTTGGCAGATCTTCATGCCACACTGAGAAGATTGCTCATTTCAGAGACAGTTACAAAAATCAAAGGCTCAAGGGGGTTATTAATGTCCTGGCAAGTCCTCCCTGAAGAGGGCCAGTGTTGATCTCTTTATCTCTCTCTGTTTTCTCTTCCCTGGCTGGCCTTGCTTTTTCACAATGCAGGTGCTGCTACTCTGTTTGCTGGGAGCCGGCTCGAGTTGCCTAATGAATTTCAATTGCCATTGTGTCTGCTTTGTCAATTTGGCCTCTCTTCCCAGGTGGTTTCCACATAGAGACTGGCGCTCAGCATTCCTGACCACCCTGCACCCCCATGTCTCCTCCCTCAGACACCCCCATTTTCTACAGTAATAAGACTGAGATGGGCAAGAAGGAAGGAGATTGAAGTCATTAGACAAGTCCTGACCTTGTGTTACACATAAAATCCATTCATACATTCTCATTCTGGGGGAGCAGAAGGCAAGAGAGCCCTTTCTGGTGAGCATCTTGCTCTTCCAATTTTTCAGTTTCCCCTCTTCCAGGTTCCAAGTAAGAGTCACTAAACTACAGCTCCTGCCTTCACCTTCGGAGGAACAAGTGAATTTAGTCACTTGTTCACTAACTTTCAGATTCGACTTTCCTCAAGTTGATTAGACCACAACAACCTCTAGAAATCCCCACTAAGCGTGACATCTGCAGAGAACCACTCTGAATAGCAGCCAATAGCAAGACCAAGTTCCCACACTCCACATCCACATGGACCCGCCTAACTTCTTCTGGGGTGCTCCAGGCAGAGGTGTCGTCCATGTTTGTTTTCAGTGTAATGTATGTCTCTTGAGAGTGAAGTGCTTTGTTTGACTTTTCCTAAGGTACGAGTTGAGCTATCCTGTCACCATCAATGGCTTGTGCTACACTCTTTTGTAGAACCATTCAAAACATCTCTGCCTCTAGTGCCAATCTTCATTTCATTGAATTAGAGATCTCTTATTAAAGCAATTCATTGCTTATCAGTTGGAGGTTTAATGATCTAAAGGCCTCTGTAGACTGAGAAACTCCAAACAGGAGATTTAATCTGACAGATTAAACCTGTGGGATCTTCTGGTAGAAAACCCCACATACCAAAACCTGATGATATCTACCGCCTTGAGACTGCAGAAGAACTGGCCTGCAGACAGACTCTTCTATCCCCAAAATTCCCCCTTTCTCATCCTTTAAAACCTCAAGCCCCTGTGCACACAATCTCTACTTCCGTGGAGAGACTGAAGTCCTTCAATTGTCCTGATTAAAGGATAATTCTGTTTCTGGGATGCCCTTCTGCTTTCTTTTATTTCAACAACATCTCCACCAATCCCAACCTAATATCTATAGATCCGTTCATAAGAGAAGCCAATATAACATTCACCATCTTTCCTTAGGAATCTGTTCTTCTCCCCATATTTCTTACACTAATCCAGGGATAGCACCATTCTAGTTTGGCAGGACCAAATAATGCCCTAGCCACCAAAATCCAGCTCTACTACTGCGGTGTAAAGCAGCAGCACTGACAGATAATGCATAAATACGTGTGTATAGCATCATCCAAATAAAACTATAAAAACAGGTACGTCATGGACTGGATGTTACTGTACCCCTCAAATTCATATGTTGTAATCTTTAACCTCCTTGATGAATGTTTTAAGATGTGGAGGCCCTTAGGGGTGATTAACTCATAAGTGATGGGAGAATGACCCTATCAAAGATCTCCCTTCCACAATACTAGAACTGTTGGGGAAGTCTTATGTTAATAAAGCACTGTCTGGCCAATAGGAATCTAGATAGGTGGGACTAGGAGTCCAGGAGGATTCTGGGAAGAAGAAACACCAAGAGTCGACATGTAACTGCCATGGGGTAGGAAACCTGGAACTATTCTCCGGTAAGAGACATACTTAGATTAACAATTATGGGGTAATTACTTGAAGCAGAGCTAGCCAGTAAGAGACAAGCAAGGCCAACAGCTTCATAATTAATATAGCCTCCTGTGTGTTTATTTGGGACTAAGCGGCTCTGGAACCAGGCTGGCGGAACGGCTCCTTCTCAAGGAAAAAGCTTCTCTTAACAAGAACACAGTAAGAATGTGGAGAAACCAGAAAAAGACCTTCACCAGACACCAAACCTGCCAGCACTGCACTCTCAGGCTTCCCAGATTCCGGAGCTATGAGAAATGAATTGATGTCTATAAGCCACTTGGTCCACATTATCTTGTCACAGCCAAATGGACTAAGGCAAGATGGTTGGCCGATCTGGCCCCAGCATGACAACCTGTCAACCTTTGCAGCCAGAAACCACCTAGGTTCTTCCCTTTGTCACTCCACATATCCACTCCACATATCCAATCAATCAATGCATCAGCCAGCCCTACCTCCTAGATACCCCCAAATCACCCTCCTTTGCCATTTTTAAGTCTTGCTCCACTGTTTTAGAAAAGAAAAATGTGACTACAAATTGTAGAGGATAAAAGACAGATGGCGAGGGAATGGCAGGCAATTTGTATATATCAAAGGGTTGAAGAAAAATTATGTTTACTGGTTTTTTTCAACTCTAAGATAATCATTGATACACTGCATGCTATTTATTTGCTTACCACTGCCAAAGAAAACCGCAGTCAAGACTATAACCACGGCTTGCTTATCTCTTAGAATTTTTATAATTTTGGGATTACCTAGGTAACACACATTGGAGAGTGTCTGTGAGTACACTCACTGATTAACTAGGGGGAGGCAGGGAGAGGGGCTGATCCCAAAGTGATCCCACCTTCTACTGGCCCTGCCCAGGTATAAAGAGGTCCACAGAAAAGCATCGAGTACCTGGCTTCTCTCACTTCCGCATGAGTGAGTGCACATACTGCTGCTGCTGCCATTAAATTCCTGGTTCCCCACAACCTTCTGGTGGGGACTCAATACCAGAGACCTGCCAAGGAGTTCCAGGTGTTTAGTGCCAGAATGGAACTGCCGAGACATCTAGCTCTGTTGATGGAGCAGCTGCTGTGATCTCTGCCTCTCTGGAGTGTAGACAGTCATTGTTGAACTACCCAACCTCTATCCTACAGACCAGTATAATAAATGCCTTTTTGTGTTCTCTCTCTCTCTCTCTCTCTCTCTCTCTCTCTCTCTCTCTCTCTCTCTCTCTCTCTCTCTCTCTCTCTCTCTCTCTCTCTCTCTCACAAATCCTGTCTAGTACCTGAAGATTGGCTATGGTATTCCAAAAACTTTTTTTTTGCATTCTTTTTGAGTTTGGGAATTTTGTAGTTGTTTTGTGGCTTGTTGTGTTTTAGTCAAAGCTTCGTTCTGCCCAACCTAGAATTCACTATATAGCCCAAACTGGCCTCAAACTCCTGCAATCCTTCTGCCTCAGTATCCTGAGAACTAAATGACAAAGAGACCATCATCATATTTGACATCCTAAAACTTATCATACAAAGTCCAATTCATCATTTTCCTTCCAGAGTCAAGGAAATCTGAATTTTCAACACTACATCTTCTTCTATGCTACAAGTAATGGCAAAGCAGAATTTCTTTGTGGGTGGATAGTTGTGAGGCAAAGTCTCACTATGTAGCCCAGGCTGTCCTTGAACCTCTTCAACCTCCTCAGTGCACAGTGAAACTAAGACAACTCCATAATTATTTTCCAGACTCTCCCTAACCCCGGCCCATCACCGTACATGTTTCAATGCTGTCGCTTTCTTTATATTACTAGAACTGTCAATAGAATATTTTCCAAGAACTGGTGTTCTTTCTACAGAGTCCATGGTTTTGGCTTAAAACAATGAGGAGTCAGGAGCTGGGGAGGGCCTATATAGCTCAGAAGCAGAGTTCTTTCTGGGATGTGGAAGATCCTGGGTTCAATCCAGAATACTACTAGAAAAGAACACTGAGAATTTTCTGTGGACCAGTCCTATCACCAAGACAGCAAACTGAATGCCCATACTGATAATGACAACCACATCTTGAATTTTGCCTAGAGACAGTGATTACAACATAATGTCAGTTCTAGAGAAGTTAATGTGAACGTAAAAAAATATGTATGTTGGCTTCCATGAAATGTTGTGCATGTTTTGAATTAAAGCAAATGTTTATGGCAAGTATGTAACATTTTTGTTAGTTCAACTAACTTTTTGTGTTTACCTCACTACTAGTCATTGTTACCTATAAAATAATAATAATGAAATGATAAGAGAATGTGCTGGCTACTTTTTATGTTGATTAGACACAGGATAAAAGAGAGAATATCAATTGAGAAAATACCCTCCACTAGATTACCCTGTGGACAAGTCTGTGGTACGTTTTATTACTTACTGACCGATGTGGGAAGGTCTGGTCCATTGTGGGTAGTGCCACCCCTGGGAAGGTAGTCCTAGATGGCATTAAAAAACAGACAGAATAGTATAAAACATGGAACTTGCACAAAAGCAGGCACATGGACCAATGGAATAAAATTGAAGACCCAAACATGAGTACACATAGCTTCAACCACTTGATATTTAACAAATGTGTCAAAAAAGAAAAAGAAAAGAAAAAAACATGCTGAAGAAAAAAAAGCATCATCAACGAACAGTGCTGGGAAAACTGGATGTTCACAAGCGGAAGAGTGAAATTGGACCAATACCTATCACCTTGTGCAAAACTAACTCCTAAATGTGAAGCATGAAACTTCTAGAAGAAAACATAGGCATGTTCTACATCATCTAGTGTAGGAAAAGTGTAGGACTCCATTTGCCCAAAATTAAGTCCAGCAAGTGGTAAGTACGACTTCCTAAAAGTAAAGCACTTCTGCACAGCTAAAGAATCAGTCATTCCAAGCAGTGTTGATACACACCTTTAATCCCAGTGCTTGGGAGGCAGAGACAGGTGGATCTCTGAGTTGAAGGCCAGGTTGGTCTATACAGTGAGTTCCAGGAGAGTCAGGGCTACACAGAGAAACCGTGTCCTGAAAACCCAAAAAAGTAAAAAAAAAAAAAAAAAAAAAAAAAAAGAAAGAAAGAAAGAAACAATTATTCTAGCGAAAATAAATCCCACAGAATGGAAGAAAATCCTTGCCAGCTGTGCATTTGACAAAGGATTAATGCCCAGAATGTATACAGAACTCAAAAAAGTAAAGAGTCAGAAACTGGGCCTGAGACCTAAACAAAGAATTCTCAAGAGAACAAAAACAAAAAAGTCTAAGAAATATCTCAAAAATTTTTCATTGTCTCCAGTAATCAAGGAAATTCAAATAAAGACAACTTTGACATTTCATTTTATCATAGTCAGAATGGCAAAAATCAGCAAAACAACTGACAACAAATGCTGGAGGGGATAAGGGGAAAAGGGACCCCCCCCCCCGTTTACTGTTGGTTGGGTTCCAAACTGGTCCGGTCACCCTAGATAGTCATTGTGGATAATTATTTAAAATCAAAAAAAAAAAAAAACCTACCATACAACCCAACTATACCACTTCCTGAAACATGCTATGGTAGTTTGAAAGAAAATGTCCCAAAAGGAGTGGCTTTGTTGGAGTACGTATGGTATTATTGGAGGAAGTGGGTCGCTGTGGAGGCAAGCTTTGAGGTCTCATATATGCTCAAGCCACACTCAGTATCTCAGACCACTTCCTGTTGCCTGCAAGTCTTGATGTGGGATGCTGGGCTACCTCGCTAGCACAGTCTCCCCACAAGCCACCATGTTGCACCATGATGATAATGGACTAAACCTCTGAAAATGTAAGCCACCCCCAATGAAATTTTTTTCTGTTGTAAGAGTTGCTGTGGTCGTGGTGTCTCTTCACAGCAATAGAAATAAATCCTAACTAAGACAAATGCCCAAAGGACTCAACATCCTACTTCATAGATACTTATTCAGTCATGTTCATTGCTGCTCTATTCACAATAGCTAGGAAATGGAAGCAATCTGAATGTCCTACAACCAACAGACAGCTAATGAAAATGTGGAACATATACACTGTGGAATACTATTCAGCTGGAAACAAAAATGAAATCATGAAATTTGCAGGTAAATGAAACTAGAAAGAGAGATTATACTGAGTGAAGTAGCCCAGACCCAGAGAGACAAATGTGGCATGTTGTCTCTCATCTGAAGCTCCTGTCTCTGATTCTTCATATTTGAATACATATCCTGGAGTAACTACAGAAGCCATGAAAGTTAAAAAGGACCAATGCTAGGGTTAGGGTATAAGACAGCAAAAGAGCAGGGTACATGTGATCTGATTCAGGAAATGGGAAAATGGAAAAAAGAAACAATGGGGCTCTAATTAGGGAGGAGGGAGATAAACACAGAAGAAGGAAGGAGGGGTGAAATAAATGTTAAAATGTCTGACAAAGTCACAAGGGATCATACTATTAACTATCTACCTAAAACTATCTATAATACATACAAATCTGTGTATAAATATATATTATAGTTTAAATGAAATATCCCACCTGGTCTGACAACACTCCTTCCAAGAGCCAAAGACCATCTAACAACAGCCCCAATATCATGCCTCTTTTGAGTTGTTGATCAGAGTTGTCCAGGAAACTCCCAAAACACTACAGGAGATTGCTGTTGCCCTTGGTTGCCCCCAAGAGTTGAAAGGTAAGTCTTTATTGCTAAAGATACACACTTCAGACATAGGGCATAAGGGGCCCAAAAGCCTCCTCCTTGAGGATCAGTTTTCAGGGTACCAACCAGAAGGCACCACAGAGGCTTCCAAAGGAAAGCATCAGCCAGCCAACCGGCTATGATGCCTTTGAACAACAACAACCAACAGAGTTCAACAATCCTAAGAGGGTAGTAGCGGCTCACATATCTTGGTGGTAACCAACAGCTCTCTATTTGGACTCAAGGCACATTCAACAAGAGGGAAAACTTGCCTGGTACTGGAAGCCTAGCCAGCTACTCAGGGCCAGTGAAGTTACGGATCTTGAAGGAAAACCTACATTCGCCCCTTTACTAAATCTGCATAATTATTAACTACATTCTAAATATTTGTCTTTATACCCACAGAATAGTGTAGTCCTTACTCCACATCAAGGAAAACTCTCTTTGTATCAGAAACCATTACAGAAAAACCACAATCGATCAAAATGCAGAGTTGTGGAAACAAATCTCAATGGTGACATCTACAATATAGCTTAAGGCTCAGGAATCATCACATAAGAGTGTGCTAAAAGATTGTAAGAGATAGAAGAACAAAGAGTTTGTGTCTTATAGGTATATCAGAAGCTACACATATAAATTTTCACCAACATGACTGCCTAAACAGGAACTGAGCAAAAACAACAAAAGACTTGCTAAGGTAGATGGGGTGAGGGGGGTGTAGGGGGAAGCCCAAGAGACCTCAACCCTACACAAGAACTACAGGCAACCAAGAAATGCTGGGAGTGGGAGAAAAAGTCTTCCCCAGGGAAGGGCACAATTAGTTATCCAATACCGCTAGTCAGCCTTGAAAACATATACATACAAGCAGCATTATAGGGACAGAGAAGATTGTCCTTATGTACACAGAGGGTGTGTGTGTGTGTGTGTGTGTGTGTGTGTGTGTGTGTGTGTGTGTGTGTGTGTGTGTGTGTGTGTGTGTAACAACAACTAAGGAAACAGAGAGGCCATGAATTTCAAAAAATTCAAGTAGGGTTATATAGGAGGTTTTAAAGGGAGGAAAGCGGGAACCATACAATTATATTACATTCTCAAAACAAATTTTAAAAGAGAAAGTAAGAAAGAAGGAAGGAGAGAGAGAAATACAGTTGAACAAGCCATGAAGAGCAAATTAAGCAGCATCCTCCATGGCCTCTGCATCAGCTCCTGCCTTCAGGTTCCTGCCCTGCCTTGAGTTCCTGTTCTGACTGCCTTCAATGATGAACTAGGATGTTCCTGTTCAAATTGCTTACAACAGAAACCCTGAGACAGAGAGCTTCTGTTGGACAATGTTATGCTAGACAGAAAGTTGTCAAGAATTGTCAACCAGAGGCGGCTTTCAGAGAGGAAGCTTCTCTCTTTAAATGAGCCTGTCACCAGCCAGCCACATCACCAGTACATTAGGTTGTCTTAGCACTCCATTCAGCAAACTTAAAAATGGAAAGAAGCTATGCACATGACTTTCTCACTTCCACCTCAGCAAACAGCAAGAGGTAACTGAAGCTCTTAGCTGTAAATGCAGGAATGAATGAATCAGTTGCACAGAAAATTACTACACATAATGCAGGCACATGGAATTGTGAATAAATAAATATAGCCGGGCGTTGGTGGCGCACGCCTTTAATCCCAGCACTTGGGAGGCAGAGGCAGGCGGATCTCTGTGAGTTCGAGGCCAGCCTGGTCTACAGAGTGAGTTCCGGGACAGCCTCCAAAGCCACAGAGAAACCCTGTCTCGAAAAACCAAAAAAAAAAAAAAAAAAAAAAAAAAGGAAAGAAGCTTATTTCCCACCCACCCGTGGGGGGGGACAACTCTCCCCCTTTGAAAAGACACAGTCATAATTATAATGCAATAATAAAACAATAAGAAGTAAAATTTTCAGGCCAGCTGCTTCTAGTTCAAAGACTGTACTATGACCTCAGATAAATCAAGCCCTGTGCAAACCCTGAGGTCCAAAACAAAAGAGGCCCTCAAAGTCTGTTAGGTGCTACTTCTTCTAAAGTCAGCCTAGAAAGACACATGTACCGTGGAGGGCACTGAGGAACCTGCAGGACTCAGCTCCCAACCAGAAGCCTGCACTGGGTTATTATTGTTTTAGAGTTGGTTTTTTTGGTTTTTGTTGTTTTTTTGTTTTGCACCCTCCAGAACTCAGTGTTGTCATTGTTGTTTGAGACGGGGCTATGGTCTGGATGTGAAATATCTCCCACAGTCTCCAGTGTTTGAGCACCTAGTCTTCAGTTGATGGTGCTTTCTGACCAGTTGTAGAATCACTGGGCTGTGGGGCCTTGTTGGTAGAGGCAGCCCCTGGGGTGGGGGAGAGGAGATGCCTCTGAAAGTTAGCCATGCTTCTGCTTCTGCCTGCTTTCTCCCCTTCCTGGTTGCCCAGGTGAGAGGGACCAAGATTCTCTGGGACCCTTTCCTCCGCTAAGTTGCCTCTCTTAGAAACTTTGTCACGATGACAGGAATAATAATAATAATCTGATTATGTAGCCCAGGTTAGTCTTGAACCTGTGATCTTCCGTCCTTAGCCTCTAGAGTGTTTTCAGGCATGCGCTGCCACGCCCTAGCTTATTGCACATTATTGTCATTGCAGCAGTGTTGGGAGGTGGGGCCTGGAAGCATGATTATACTCTAAGAGGGATCAATGGCTTCCTGGTGGAAGTGAGTTCGATTTCCAGGGAACTGGTTTGTTTACCTAGTGTGCGGGTTTTGTCTCCTCCTCATGCGCCCATTCGTTGTTCTCCATTCCCCCACGTTACAATGCTGTCTGCAAGACTCACCAGAAACTGTGCCGGGCTCTTGGACTTCCCACCCTCCAGAACCCCGAACTCTCTCAACCTCTGTTCCATATGAATGACGGGGGCTTGCAATATTGGTTACAGCAACAGAAAACAGATGGCGGCAGAATTCCTTGCTAGCTCAGCTGCTGAATACAGAGATGTGCTGTTTACAGAGAGCTAGAGCTGCGCCCTCAGAGCTAAAGCCCTAAATCTCCAGCCCAGAAGACTACAGAAAATGGGTTTTCACTCTGGGTCAAGAGAAACACATCCAGCCCTTAAGCAAAGTCCTACTGTCCATGCCTTGTAACCCTTGAGAGAAAACCCCTCTGATTCCTCAGTAAGACTGTTGGAGGTTATCAACAAAGTGCTACCGCCCAAAACTCCAGAATAGGAGCTCTGTTCTCTTTGAAATCTTTATGATGATGGCAGTGCTGTCCCAAAGTTCTCTTAAGACTGCTTCTTTTAAGCTTTAAATGGCATAACTTAAAACATGTTTTTTTAAAAAATAGTTACTTCTGTCTTGTGTTTCTAGAGTGTATAAGACTGAGATTTTCAAATGAAGAGCAACCCAGGTCGAAGAGGAAAGACGGGCAACATCTGGATGGGACCACAGAGCTTCCAGGCTGATGCTCAGCCACACGCAAAGCACACCAAGCAAGCAACAAAAAAGAGCAAACTGCACCTCTCCACGCCATGCACCACGTCATCTTGATCTGAAGGTGTGGAGGACAGAGAGTGGCAGCAAGAGGAATGAGGGGGTGGGGTCACTTTCTCTGTCCTAGTTCAGCTGTAAATTTTCTGGCCTACAGGACCATGACAATTGATTTATTTTTCATTTAATACAGACTTATTCTGTGAAGCCTTAAACACACTGGGAAGGGAGAATTTTCAGGTTAACGAAGCAAACGCCCGGTAAGTGTTATTTGGATGTGAAATCTGTTAATCTGCACTTCCCCTATTTGGAGATAACCATATTTTCTGCCGCCCCATTTGACAGATCTCCAATCTTGAGCGGTTCAGTGTTAATCTGAACTCACAGTGATCAAAGCTTATATCCTGTTTTCTTTTCAAACAAGACTGACTTTTAAAAAAAAAATCATGTTCTTAAGAAACAGCCCAAAGAATAAGTCAAGAATCCCTGTGGAATATAATCAGATCTATTATGCTAAGTAGGAAGACACCCCTCCCCCAAACCCTTAAGAAAAGATCTCAAGGAAGTAGAAATTAAATTGCCAAGTCTAATGGATTCCCTGTGTGACTAACTCGCTGTATTGTTTCTCGTGTTTGAGGAGATACAGGCATTTCACGGACAGGCTTAGTCACTCCTGCTTGAACAGCTGCTTCCCTGCGCCATGTCTAAGGTCGGGTTCATCCATGGCAGAGCTCAGCAGCTCTCACTCAAGTTGGATGAATGCATGAAAGAGTTTTCTGTTGACATTATTCTGATGCTTCCAGGGGACCAGTTCCTACCCTCGCTCAGGAAGATTCTGCCCCTTCGTGGTGGGAGGTGGACTCGATTAAAGGACTAGGGTAGATAAAAGCTTTTGTCTGAGAGTCTGAATTCCTGAGAACTGCTCAAGGTCAACCAGATGTACCAAATATACCCTGCCCCTCCTGGCTTCCAAGCTCTCCCCTTTATTTTTAACAATTTTCTTCTTTTGTGATCACCACTTTTTATGCAAAATCCAAAGAGGAAATGGAGTGGACTGTCTTAAAACCTGTTGGGGGAAGGTGGGATAAATACATGCCACAGATAACAGCTGCAATTCCTCAACTTCGCACTTCCCTTTGGATATGCTCTCACAGCGCATCCTCACTCTCAGGCTGCACGCTAACAGCCTTTAAGATTGTGGACATGGTAAGGAAAAGAAAAAGATTGTGTACATGATATCTAACACCTCTACATTACTATTATATTTGCTACATTTTCATATATACTATACGTGTGTGTGTGTGTGTGTGTGTGTGTGTGTGGTTCCTAGAAACCATCTATTAAAATATACTGAAAGAAATAAAAACCATACAGTTCCTTAATTGTACATGTTTACATGCATAATTTTAATCCTATAGTGTGGAATTTAATTTTCCGAATGAATTGCAAATAAGGTTTTGAAAAAAATACGTAAATAATGTTGGGAGTTTTTATTTGTCAGAATTCAGGAACTATCCCCTGACTTAGGTTGTTTTTTAAATGAATCCTAAGCCTAGTAACCACTAAATATAATGTGATAACTGAAATTTTGTTACTTGTTTTTGTGGCACTGGCAACTGAACCCAGTGCCTTGTAATACTAAGCAACTGCTGTGCCACTGAACTACAACCCTTGATGTCTAAAGTTTGAGTTACATAATCAAGGGTCCTTTGTTCTCACTTACCAGTGGCTATAATATTATTTTCAGCACTAGTTTTAGTTCTGCTTAAATAGGAATTACTCATCAGGTATGCTAACACATACCTGTAATCCCAGAGCTCAGGAGGTTCGCTGTGAGTACATAGTAAAACCATGTCACACACACACATATAAATTGTGTATAAAATATATATAATATATATATACATTATATATTTATTAGAGAAAAATCATAAAATGCATTCCTATTGCAAAATACAACTTTTTACACTCAGACAATTTCAGATTTTGTAGCATTTCAACTGTTTAGATTAGGAAAGCTCAAATGACAATCTAGGTAAATATTTCAAAATCTGGGGTGGAGGCAGGAGATGAGAGGATTCTAAATCTGAAGCCCTTCTGGTCCCAAGCACTTCAGATAAAAGATGTTCAGCCTGTATTGGGACTGTGTCTTGAACTCTTCCCTCCTCCTCATCATTTGGAACGGGCAAGGAAAAGGGGCGTCTTAGGGTTACTATTGCTGTGAAGAGACGCCATGACCATGGCAACTCCTGTAAAGGAAAACATTTAATTGAGGTGACAGCTTATAGTTCAGGGATTCAGTCCATTATCATGATGGTGGGGAGCATGGTGGCATTCAGGTAGAGCAGCTGAGAGCCCTACATCATGCAGGCAATGGGAAGTCAACTGAGACACTGAAACATAGGAAACCTCAAAGCCCACCCCCCACGGGGACGCACTTCTTCCAACAAGGCCATACCCACTTCAACAAAGCCACGCCTCCTAATAGTGCCACTTCCTATGAGATTATGGGGGTCAATTACATTCAAACTAAAACAGGAGTATCTTAGTTAGGAATACTATTGCTATAATGAAACACCATGACCAAAAGCAATTTGGAGAGTAAAGAGTTTATTTGTCTTTTCTTAAATACTCATAGTCCATCACTGAAAGAAGTCAGGACAGGAACTCAGACAGGATGAATATCTGGAGGCAGAAGCTGATGCAGAGGCCATGGAGAATGCTGCTTACTGGCTTCTTCCCCATGGCTTGCTCAGCCTGCGTACTTATAGACCCAGGACCATGAAGGCTGAAGAGATAGCTCAGTGATTAAGAGCACTAACTGTTCTTCCAGAGGATCTGGGTTCAATTCCAAGCACCCACATGGCAGCTCACAACTGTCTGTAACTCCAAGATCTGACACCCTCACATAGACATACATGCAGGCAAAACACCAGTGCACAAAAAAAATATTTAAAAAAATAGAATCCAGGACCACCAGCCTAGGGAGGGCACTACCTACAGTGGGCTGGGCCCTCCCACACCAATCGCTAATTAAGAAAATGCTCTACAGACTTGCCTATAGCCCAATCTTATGGGGGCATTTTCTCAATTGAGGGTCTCTCCTCTCAGATGACTCCAGCCAGTGTCAAGTTGACATAAAACTAGCCAGCTCACGGGGGGTGTGGTTCTGATCCAAAAAATGGGATGTATGGCAGATCAAGAGGGTTGCTATGCTTGGCAGTGTGAAATAATCAGAACACATGAATCCCCAGCATATAAAAGGCAGGCTGCTGTAAACAAGCCCAGATTTGGTCAGAGTCCATGAAAAAGGAGAGAGTATTGAATAAACTTGGACTAGAAGAGGGAATTGAATGAACTTGGGAGAGGCAATGAGAGAATTTGCAAACTTCCCTGCTTACATTCACAGGAGGAGTTACGGCGTTTAGAGTAAAGACGGAGGTAATGTGAGAGTTACAATTTGTCTTTACTATGGGGATATGAAAGGGATTCAGAGGGAAAACAGAGACTCACAGAATACCTGACAAGGTGGAAGCCACTATGCCCCCCCCATCTGCCCTGGGGAAATGTGAACAACCACACAAGCTTGCTTCTGCTCCAACCTCCCAAGAGAGTGAACATGCTTCCTCTCTCCACATATCAGTCCACATGCAACACCTCAGACCACACCCCAAGGGCCGGTACCACAAAAGCTATTGGCTGAATGAATTCCCACAACAATAGGGCATCGGTGGCGGTCTTTACTGGTGGCTGTAGCAAAACACCATAGGCTGTGGTAGCTTAAACGATAAAACTCTTCTGTCATACTTGTGGAGAATGGAAGCCCAAGATCAAATTGACAGCCCAGATAGGTGAGAGTCATCTTCCTTGCTTTTGGACAATTGCCCCATCCCTGTGGCCTCACGTGACCCCCACCAACGTGAGAGAATGAAATGAGAGGAAGCGAGCTATCCTAGATCTCATTCTCTGAGGGCACTGATCCCGAGGACCACTCTTAACCTCATCTAACCCTAAGTGTCCCACCAAAGCCCCATTCCCAAATACCGCCATCTTGAGGCTTCAAGTGTTAATTTGGAGGGCAATTCACAACATGATAGGATAGCATAAAACAGCAAATACTCATCTGTCACACGTCTACGATTTCACTAATTTATGGGGGAGTAGTGCTTGTATACAAGTTTGCACATGCATGTGGAGAACAGAGGTCAACCTTGGGTATCATTCCTCAAGAACTGTCCATCTTGTTTGTGAGATGGATCTCTCACCAGTAACTAGGGCTTAGGAATTAGACTAGGATGCCTGACCAGCAAGCCCCAGAGATCTGTCTGTCTCTGCCTCCCCACTGCTGGGATTACAAACGCACACCACAAAGTGTGGTGTTTTAATCTGGGCACTACAAGTTCAAACTCAGACCCTCATGCTTGAACGGTGAACATCTCACCAACTTAAACTATCTCCTCAGCTCCACTCATCTTATTTGGACTCTTCCTCATTTGGGGCACAACTCCAGTGACCGTGTCTCCCTCCTCTTAACAAACTGTGCTATGAGGGAGGTAGGGAAAAAGAATGTGAATTTTCCATCATCTGGTTGTGTCACATTTGCTAATTTCTTTTTGGCCAAAGGTGACCATCCTAGTCACCCACCATAGTCACTAAATAGGACATCAGTGACCCCTCCCATCTCTCAAGCACGTTTGAGAGCTGTGTGTAAGACTATTACACTGTATGTTCTGTGATGGTTGCCCTCCTATAATATTTAATGTGTAAATTTCACGCTACTAGTGAAACAGTGAAGTAATACTTTAGCTCTAGGTTTGAGGCAGTCCAGATAGCCAAAGGACATTACAGACTGACGAAATCACAGAACTGTATGACAGCATGACCAGCCAAACTTGGCAGGGGTCAACATGGTTGACCAAAATGACCACTGACATCCTTCATTTCATGATAACCATACCTCCATATCTGAAGCCATGCCACATTTTAAAATCCCTCATAAGGGCAGGAAGATGGAATAAACTATATTCCAGGAAAAATCCCTATGGATTCACGGAATTCCTTGCCTTCTCCCCACTTAAACCCATGAACAATCCATCCTTCCACTAAATTTTGCCCATAAAACAAGCTGTCTAAAGACCCACAATGCAACTCTGTCATGAGAAGCCTACACTCACACTTGAATGTGTCCTTCGGCCCTGTAATAAATTCCCTACTGTGCCGGGCATTGGTGGCACAAGCCTTTAATCCCAGCACTCAGGAGGCAGAAGCAGGCGAATCTCTGTGAGTTCAAGTTCAAGGCCAGCCTGGTCTACAGAGCGAGTTCCAGGACAGCCTCCAAAACAATACAGAGAAACCCTGCCTCAAAAAAAAAAAATCCCTACTGTGTCTCCTTTCTGAATTCTTTCCTCGCAGAGTCAAGAACCTGGAAACATGAGGAGAGGCCTCATTCTGGTGTCTAGCTCTGAGACTGCCTCAGCCTTCAGTGAAAGCATTAGTATATGTTATAGGGAAAGGGGAATTTTTTTTACATCCACAGGACTCAACTAAATTAAGAGTTAGGAGCTGGGGAGGCAGAGGCAGGCGGATCTCTGTGAGTTCGAGACCAGCCTGGTCTACAAGAGCTAGTTCCAGGACAGCCTCCAAAGTCACAGAGAAACCCTGTCTCAAAAAAAAAAAGAGTTAGGAGCTGGGTGCTCACTTCAGTGGTGGCGTACTTGTCTAGCACACACAAGGCCCTGGATTCAGTCACCTGCATTAAAAAAATAATAAATAAATAAATAAATAAATAAATAACAAAAAAACAGAAACTCCTACAACAACCGGTTATCCTCTGCCTGCCAGTCAATACCCAGTCCTTCTCTGAAGAGGCTGGGAGCTGCCTCAGGCAAAGTGAAAGAGAGGCATGCATGGGGCCTATCTGCAGTAATTCTCATTCTGGCTGAGGAGATGGATGGCTCAGCAGGTGAGGTACTTGATGCCAAGCCTGGGAGCCTGAGTTCAGTCACTGGAACCTATGCAGGAGGAGAGAAGTGATTGCTGCAAGTTGTCCTCTGACCAAAACACACACACACACACACACACACTAAATGAACGTTTAAAAAAGTAGGATAATTCTATACTCTGAAAAGTCACAAGGTGCAAAGAGGAACCAGACCAAAAAAAAAAAAAAAAAAGATATCATGTCAACATCCTGCAGAGACTGAGATTCAGGTAAAAAAATCGAGCAAGGGCTACTGGCTTCTAAGTTGTCAGGATAATGGAGAACAGGCAATTCCCTAAGTGATAATGAACTAATGTGGAAGAATTATTTTTTTCCAAGCCCTAGAAACAGGTTGTACTGAAATATCAAACTTAGAGAGGTCCCAGAGGGACAGCATGACACATGTCACAATGAGTGTGAAGAGTGGTGTCCGGCCCTGCAGAGCTCAGCGCAGTAACACCTTTCCAGCCATGGTCCTCTCCTCTGCGGGAGACAGTTGCCATAACCACCACACTCTCCGCAGGGACAGCCCAGTCAGCCCAGCCGGGGCCCCAGGAACAAAGAAGACAAGCCCTTGCCCAAGAGCAGCTGAGGACATAGAACTCGTCACTGGGAAGATGTTCCTTCTGCAGCCCCAGAGCACATCACTCTGCGGAGGCAAGCCCGTGCCCTGTTTAAGGCATGGAGAATCTGTGCCTACCAGGGCCCACCTCTGCCTCTCCCTCGCTAAGACAGGCCATCGGCACTGCACTGACTTCAGACAGGCTGTCTAGGCCAAGGAGTCACTGCGTAACAGACGGTTCTCTACCACAAATACAGTCAGCAGGCTCTGCGCTGGGGGCCTAGTAGGAGGACATGGCACCCTGCCCACACCCCTGCCACTCCATGTTCCTGCCCTCCAGTGGTGGGATGGGGCACGATCCCCAACAGGGCACGTGTTTATGTAACTATAGCAACAACGAGACATGATAGGGAGAGACTGCCGCACTGACCCCCAAACTAGGTAGCATAGGGAGGCCTCTCCCAGCACCGTGGCAGCGATGATTGGATCCACAGAAGTGGGAAACCTGCTCCAGGAAAAAATGAGAGACAGAGACTGAGTGTGGAGATAGCCTAACAGGTAAACCCCCGGCCTGGGGCGTGGAGGGAGCTAGATCCTGGGAACACCTAGACACTGGCCTGATAACTCACATCTGTAGCCCCAGCACTGGGAGAAGTATCTGCAGGAGGATCAGAAGTCCAAGGTCATCCTCAGCTACATGGAAAGATTTGAGGCCAGCCTGAGCTACATGGAAAGATTGGAGGCCAGCCTGAGCAACATGAGATCCTGCCTTTAAAAAACTTTATTTGAGCTGGGCAGTGGTGGCACACACCTTTAGTCCAGCATGCGGGAGGCAGAGGCAAGTGGACCACTGTGAGTTCAAAGCCAGCCTGGTCTACAGAGCTAGTTCCAGGACAGGCTCCAAAACTACAGAGAAACCCTATCTCGAAAAACAAAAACAACAACAACAAAAACATGACACATACCCCCCCACATCCACACACATTATTCGATCATCTATGAGCACCTGCACATAGGACACAGCCCTGTAATCCTAGCACTCAAGGGGCTGAAGCAGAAGGACCTCAAGTTCAAGGTTAGCCTGGGCTACATAGTAAGACCCTGTCTCCAAAAGTCAAACAAAGACAGCAGAGCTTTTACCTAAGAGCAGCTCAGCCAGCAGCTTCAATGCTCTGTTCACACAGCCTTTTTATTTATTTATTTATTTAATTAGTAGATGGTGTGATTTTTCTCTTAAAGATGACTTTCAACTGTATCGGAAAATCACCCCACCTTATAGGAAAAAAAAAAGCTCACCTCCACAAAAAGAAAGCCAAGAAGGAAATGAGGGTTTGAGTGTTGCCAAAGCCAGCCACCTTCAGAAAGTAATAGTATCTCCACTTCACCCAGCCTGGCCTATTCTCTCCCTTATCTGCCCGCTGCCCCTCAGCGCTCATATAAAGTATTCCAGTATTCCATCAGCAGATGGACACCATGCTGAATGCTACAAAATAGCGACTTTCATACTAGAAAGAATTCAATAAAAAGTGAAATACATAAACGCCCGTGCTTATAGATTTTTATTATGATTCTCTTCAACCAGGCTTTAACAAACCCTCTGATGTCGGGGAAGGTATAACCGATGTGTCTTTCAGCACAAGACAAGGTGTCAGGAAAACATAGCTGCCATGTCTACACCAAGACAATGCCTTCTGAAAATAAAAGGCCCACCCTTCAGAGGTCCCGCATCGGAGCTCAGCGCCAGCGCCTGTGCTTGGGGACAGCTTGCTTTATGTCAATCCCCTCGGTGATGTCAGATGCTCAGGAGGAGGTCTCTGCAAGTGGCGTCTCTTTATGAATCTTGCATGACAGCACTTCTCTTCTTAAGCATTGGTAATCTGTTTGATGTTTGGAAAGATGGACGAGGAGCCTTGGGTGTCAGCCGAGAAGCCGACAGACGGCAATTGTGGCAATAAATAATCGCAATGCTTTTCACTCGCATGGCCTTGACAATCCAAGGGTCTCAAAACATAGCTGAAAGTTCGAATTATTGAGAAAGGACAACTCGTTCATCCTTCCAACGTCTCACACAAGACCTCGGAGGTAGCGAGATGCCCTCATAAACCCCTGGTCCTGGCTGCCGTGGGGACTGCTGGCTTCTTGGTGAAAACACACTCAGGGTAAAGAGTGACAGGATATAGTTTTTTCATTGTCTTGGGGCGGGGGACGGCTTTGAGAGTCAAGGGCAGAGGACCCAGTGATCTCCAGACCTCTTCGGGTGCAATGCGTAAGTTGAAGAAAAGTTGATGGCAGGCTGGGCAGTCTGAGCACCAGGTTAGTAGCAAATTCCACTTCTGAGCACCAGAGGGAGCAGTTGCAGGAGACGGACACAGACCGTTCACAACAGGGACAACCTGGCTGCTTCGCCCTCTCCTGGAACCTCTAGTCTTTCAAGTCGGGCCAGGGATGTTGAACAAAGGGAATAAAGGGCGAGGAAGCTTTCCTTACCCCACATGTTCCGTTCCTAATCCTCAGGCACCAGCTTGAGGTGGAGGCCTTGCGTACAGGTTGCAATTATAGATGAGACTTTTGCTTTTCTCAAAATGGGCTGGACCTCTGTACAACAAACTCTCTGCTTTCTCCAGAGCCCTACAGTCATAACCTATCCCAGCCAAACCACACAGGGAGACCTCTGTTGCTTGTGTACACGAATCTTCATTCTCATCTCTCACCAAAAACAGCGTTTGGCTACAAAAGCTGGAGCTACCTGCCACGCTGTCTGTGTAGACCCTTATTAGTATCTTTGCTCTTAAGGTGCCAATTCAAAGGAGGAAGGTGTTTCTGGGTCGGTCCTGTGGGACACAGAACAGCATCCTAAATAAGGAAGCAGAGTGAAGGAGCTTTTAAAACAGATATTTTTCTTCACTTACTCCTTCCAAAGTGAAAAAACAAAAATGTTAAGAAGTAGCTGGGTGCCAGGCGGTGGTGGCGCACGCCTTTAAATCCCAGCACTAGGGAGGCAGAGGCAGGAGGATCTCTGTGAGTTAGAGACCAGCCTGGTCTACCGAGCAAGTTCCAGGACAGCCAGAGATGCATAGTGAGTCCCTGTCTCAAACAACAACAAATACAATCAAGGAAAGAAACACTAGCAACTAAAAATGATTAAGAAAAAACAAAACAAAACAAAAGCCCTTTCTATCAAAGTCTGTTTGTGGCTCATACCATCTAAATATCTACATAGAAAGACAGACAACGTAGCTAGGCATGGTGGTACACATCCGTAATCCCAACCCCAGGAAACAGAGGCAGGAGGGTCACATATTTAAGGTGAGACAGTGCTGGGCCATGGTGGTACACGCCTTTAGTCCCAGCATTCGAGGGCAGATGCAGGTGGATCTCTGTGAGTTCAAGGCCATCCTGGTCTACAGAGAGAGTTCCAGGACAGCCTGTGCAACACAGAGAAAGCCTGTCTTGAAAACCCAAAACGGATAAATAAAATGAAACCTTACATCAAAAACACAGAACAAAAGAAGATAGAATCCCATGTCCAAAGTTTTCCAAGATTATAACTGTTAATGAGAATTCAAGCTGCTGGTCTTCCCAAGGGGGGAAAAAAATCCCCAAATCATAACACAGCAACACTCTGCCATCTGGTGGCCAAAAGTGGAATAGCCCATCGTGCTAAGCAAAAGATTGAAAAGAGCTGAGTCAGGGGTAAAGTGCCGCATTATTAACAAAACAGTTTGGTTGACTCTGAAGCCAATAAGCAGTGAGAGTCAGAATCCTAAAACAGCAAGCCCAGTTTTGAAGAGTCTCCTTCCTTATGTTTCACAGGCATAAATGGAAGACTCCTAAATTGCTTGCTTAAACAAACCTGTATGGGGGCTAAAAAGATGGCACAGTAGTTAAGGGTGCTAACTGCTCTTCCAGAGGACCCCAGTTCAATTCCCGGCACCCACACTGGCAAGTTCCAAGAGATCTGATCCCCCTGGCCTCTGCAGACACCCACTCTCACATGCGCGTACACACACACACAGCATACAAATCTTGAAAAGGAAAAACAATGGACCTGTCTGATTGACAAAGGTGGGTGTGTAAATAAGGCATTGAGTGTGCAAAACTTTGGTCGTATGGAAATACTGGCCATCTGCCCACACAGATCTCTGCTGATGAAATAATTGCAGGATATGGAAGGGAGTGTGACCCAGTCATTCCCAGACCTTGTGTGAATGAATGTGAACAATTACAGTCCATCCACATGAGACCCTCTGAATCCATCGAGTGTCACAGGGGTTCAGAAAACCGGAATCCCCTTGCACAGGGAATGTGGCTCCCAATTCTCCCTCCGCGAGGAATCAGAAGACACCGAAGACCCACAGAGCAGAAGGCAGACGGCTTTGGTGAATCAGCAGCCCCCAGTTTTTTTATTATTATTATTTATTTATTTGTTTATTTATTCTTACCTCTAACTAGGTCTTTTAAGCAGTTGCTGTTATATTGTTGTTCTCGGACTTTCTAGAAGCTGTTGTTTGTTGGTTTTTGTTGGTTGAATGCATGGGTGGGTTTGTTTTGTTGAGACATGGTCTTGCTGTCCTCAAACTTGGGACCTTCCTGTCCCAGCTTCCTAAATGCTGGGGTTAGGAACGTGCTCCTCCTCCGGTGTCCAACCACAATGAGTTGCCTTTGACTTTGTTTTAATGTAGTCAGAGACCCTGTAAAGCCTGTTTTCATGCAGATGCCAGCTCGTTTCTACAGCTTCCTGGGTGACATGCAGGACAGTTCCTTAGTCTCTTTGTGCCTTAATTTCTTCCGACATAAATCAGGAACAAAAGGGGGAGAGGAAAAAAAATTACCTCAGGACTGTCTAAGGTCTGCCATTGTTCCCTCTATTCATGTCAGCGTCCTTCACTGTAGGTCACGCACGCAGACCACACACAGCTGTCGAATGACGTACATTGATCCCTGACCCTGCCCAGCCCCAGAGAGGCTGCGAAGGAAACAGTGTTAACTCCCAAGGGCCACACTGAATAGGTCACCCCTCATGGCCCTCCTATAACCCAGACTCTTACCGTTCTCCTCTGAAAACTTCTCTTGGATACCTGCCATCGTGCTGTAACCAAGCCCAACCCATTGAAAGCTGCAGTGGGTGAAAACGCTAATGCGCAGGCCCAATGGAACACACGCTTTGCATCAACACAGTGCCGGAAGCAAGGGATAGTCTGAGACAGAGACCTCTTTCCACTTCTAGCCCTTTTCAAAAACAGTAACTTCAGTCAGCTTTATCCCTATTCACGGTCAGAATCGAATTCGTTCGTTTATGATCCTCCCTCGCTAGACTATGATATTCATAACGGCAGGGACATTCATCTTATTTGCCATTACAAGTGACTCCAACATCATCAGCAATTTCTGGCACATGTGTATCTCATGAATAAATAAAGTAATAACATGACCAGAAAAAGAGAGAGAAGAAAAGACAATCAATGTGGAGAGCAGAGTAAAATCCAAGAAAGTATCAATTACTATCCTCAAAGACGGACAGACCACAGGACACACAGAGAACATCCATGCAGCATGAGTTGACTGGCGAGCAAGGAAGACAAAAATCAACCAGACTGAGGGCAAAGTTCAGTAGCACAGTGCCTGCCTAGCCTGAGCAAGGTCCATCCTACACACTAAAGGAAGCACATGTAAGAAGGGGCTCTTCCTTACAGCACCGGGGCTGAAACAAACAACAATCCAGAGAAGTGTTGTTAGACAAAGCTGATTGGAAGCCAACCCATGCGGAAATAAGAGGGACATGAGAGAAGAGGAATAAAATTAGGAATCAACCTAGGACATCGCCCATCTCATGCAAATTCTCGAAACAAGAGCAGAAAGGAACACATGATCAACAGGAAGATGGATGTGCGTCAAGGCAGAAAACCTGAACCAGCAGAGGCAGAACCCAAGACGGACAAACAGGAGCTTTCTAAGGAAGGCATCCACCATGGTGGACAAACAGGAGCTTTCTAAGGAAGGCATCCACCATGAGCGGGTTGTGCAGTTTGTTCAAGCATTTGGAAGGCCATTCCAAGAAATTTTGTGGGAAAGATCTGTTGAAGTACTTAGAATAAAAATAAACTATGGTGTATAGTGTCAAGCTAAATAATGTGTTTTTTCCAAGATAATTATTCAAGGATGGCCTTTGATACATGTACCATAGCCATGTCTGAGCATATCCAGGTATGTTGAGGCAAGGGACATTTTAGAAAGCACAATCAAGAAAACTACAAGATCGTTTCAAGTGCTAGCCTTTTGGCTAGTAACAAAGTTGGCAATAGCCCAGAATACTCCGGCAGTTCCCCTTACAGAAGTGTCTGTGATGCTACAATAGCCTTTGTGCAAGGGTGTCCTGGCAGGCTTTTGTGATAGTTTTTGCCATCAAGTACATGCGCATGAGAGCTTCTCTCTCAAGAGCTCCTAATAGTATTACCTTGTCAGAGTTAAATATAAATAATGCATTTTCTTTTCTTAAGGTTTTTTATTTATTTATTATGTATACAATACTTTGCCTCCATGTATGCCTGCTGGCCAGAAGAGGGCACCAGATCTCACTACAGATGGTTGTGAGCCACCATGTGGTTGCTGGGAATTGAACTCAGGACCTCTGGAAGAGCAGCCAGTGCTCTTAACCTCTGAGCCATCTCTCCAGCCCCTAAATAATGCATTTTCATTCTGACACCTTTCATAACTGGTAGGTCCATTAAAGATCATAAAAAAATTAAAATTAACATAACTTTATCATTGTTAACTGCAAGAAAAACAAAAGAATGTGCAATTTGACCCAATAGTAGGAAGATATGACTATCACTTGACCTCCAATGTGGCGCTCACTATTGTTAGAAGGATGGGGAAGGAAGGCAGAGGAAGAAGAACTAAACCCTAAGACACTCAGAGGAGCCCAAACCCCTGCCCTCAGGCGTTTCTTTTTTTTTTTTTTTTTTTTGAGTGTCTCCCTTCTCTTAACTCTCATGTTTAGAATCTATTATCAAATGTTATATAATGAAAATCCAACTCTGCTTCAAAAAATAAACAGTAAAAAATTTTAAATGAGCTAAATCATCAGCTACAATAGAAAGCCAAGAGATCATATCCAAAATAAATGACTAAATGTGTAATACATATGATGAGCATAGTGCTTAGAAGTAAAGAGTAAATGAGGAAGAAATATAGAGTCCTAACCAAGGGCCTCGGGAAGCAGAATGCAGAGAAAAGTGGGAGGCTAAGGTAATGCTTTCCTTTCTAAGCCTTTGGTACTTGTTGATTCTTAGTTGTGTGCATGCTTCCCATTTGCAACGGAATCAAAACATATGGTTCCATGATAGATGTCTTACCTGATTTACCTGATACATACAGGGTATTAGACTGAATTCTCAGCCTGAAAGATGAATAGATAAACAGATGGATGGATGGATGGATGGATGGATGGATGGATGGATGGATGGATGGATGGATGGATAGATATTGATAGGAACAGTAAATTGACTCAAATGAAAGACTCTATCAGAAGACACAGCAGTCTTTTGGTAGTAAACTCCCTGTATTGCCTTACTTTTTTTCTCCTTTCTTACATTTTCCAAATTTTCTGCATCTAAAGAAATAGAAAACAGCATGGTGGTACACACCTGTAATCCCAGGACTCAGGAGGCAGATGCAAGAGGATTACAAATCCTAGGCCTGCCTTGTCTACATAACAAGACTGTTTCTTTAAGAAAAAATTACAAGTATATATACATACATATATGTATGTATAATTGTTTGTATGCATACATACAGAAGTTTCCAATAAACTTTTTTGCTTTTGAAGCAAAGTCTCACATAGCCCAGGCTGTCCTCAAACTCACTATGCTGCCAAAGATGACCTTGAACTCCTAATATTCCTGCCTCCAACTCCTCCATCCTGACTTTTCAGGTGTGCACCACCACCACATCTGGATTCTGGAGTGCTAGGGTTGAACCCAGGGCTTTGTGCATACCAGGCAGGAAATATGCCTACATTGAAGATTTATATAGTATCTGTAGGCAATAAATGTTTCTTTTTAAATTTTTATTTTAATATATATATATTTGTGTGTGTGAGAGAGAGGGGGGATCTCTCTCTCTCTCTCTCTCACACACACACACACACACACACACACACACACCATGGTACACCTGAAAAGTCCAAAGGAGAACACTCCCCTTCCACCATGTAAATCCTGAGGCTCAAACACAGGTGGTCAGGGTTGGCATCAATTACCTTTACCTGCTGAATCATACCACTTCCCACACCCAATTTTTAAAGAACATATTTTAAATACTTATTTTGATGTGATAGTCCCTAAATGTTGGTATACATAAAAATTACCTAGAGTGTTCCTTACAGTGCAGAACTTCAGGCCTTGCCTGCCCAAATGCAAGACCTCCAAAGGACCCTAAATATCAAAATGTCATAGTGTTCCACACCTCATATAATCAAAATGTAAAGCAATATCCATTTTTAGAGAACATATTTTAAATACTTATGTTGATGTGATAGTCCCTAAATGTTGGTATACATAAAAATTACCTAGAGTGTTCCTTACAGTGCAGAACTTCAGGCCTTGCCTGCCAAAATGCAAGACCTCCAAAGGACCCTAAATATCAAAATGTCATAGTGTTCCACACCTCATATAATCAAAATGTAAAGCAATATCCAAGCAGGGAGTGTACTCTCCACCTTGGTCAATGTGTGAAATATATCCAATGGATATGAAGAATGTATGTTCCTCTTCGTGCATTGAGCCATCTTCTAGTATGTAGATATACATGGAGCTGCACATACCTCCTCGTTGCTAACATGTTAAGTAGAAACCAAGCCTGTCTAGAGGAGCATTGTGTCTGGTCAGAAAGGGCTTTGCATTTGCACCAGGCTCCCCCGGTGATGTGGGGTAACCATGACTACAGGCCCCTATTCCATGGGCCTGAACCCCTGAGATTTACACCTCTCAGAGTACCTTCTTCCACAGAACCCTAGGGCTGTCCTGCAACCACAGGACAAAGCAGATGGCGGAGGCTTGCTGGAAAATGTAGAGCGTCATGAAGCAGCTCCAGCTAGTCATCTCAGTGCAAGAGAAGAGAAAGTGCCAGAGACTGAAGCCATTCACACCCTTCACTAATGGCCACCACCACCAAGAGAATGGCATAGAGAGTGTCCCCCAGCAAGGTGGCCGTGCCTCGGGGTCTCTTCTAATACTAGAATGCTGGCTGCCTATAGAGATTTTACCACCACACTTGCCCCCCCCAACTTTCTGAAATATTTAACAATATTTAGAAACATGTTTGTTTACTTTCATGGGGTAAAATACCTCAGATATTTTATAATACCACAAAACATGGGTATTATAAAGCAAACACGGGGTGGGATGGATGTGAGATTTCGTTCGTGTGTGTGTGTGTGTGTGTGTGTGTGTGTGTGTGTGTGTGTGTGTGTGTGTGTGTGTGTAAGCCAAAGGTCAACCTAGGGTTTTGTCTTTCAGAAACCATCTACTTTATTTTTCGATGCAGGGTCTCTCATTGGCCTGAAGCTCACTGACCAGGGTAAGATGAGCTCACTCCCTAGGGTGATTGATCATAGGATCCCAAAGATCCTCCTGTTTCTGCCTCCTCAACACTGAGATGAGCACACACCCCACCACACCCCGATTTTTCTTAAATGTTTTGTTAGCATAAATTAATTGTATATTACAGTGAGCACCTTTGTAACATTTTCATACATCTACGTAAGGAGTTCTTGTCATACTCACTCCTGCCCCTGCCATTATTCTCTTTTGTTTCCCTCCACTCCTCCTTCTTCCCAGCTAGCATCCCTCTGCTCTCATGTCCTTGGTGGGGGTGTTCTTTAGGGTTATCACAGGAACAGTGGGGAGGGTGTCTTTATAGGAGCAAGTGTCAGTAATTGTACCAAGGAAGGGAATGTCTCTCCTTCCTCATGAGCCACTACCTACAAATAAATGGTCAGAGACGGGTAGGGTCCCATGACCCACTCATCTTCCCATGATAACATGTTGATGACACTGAGGGATCACACTTGAGTCCTCACACTTAGGCTTCTCCAGTCTTAATTATGAGTTTGAGACCAGTCCTGGCTATGTATGGAGACCTTGTCTCAAACTAAGCCAGGCGGTGGTGGCGCAAGCCCTTGATCCCAGCATTCAGGAGGCAGAGGTAGGTCGATCTCTGTGAGTTCAAGGCCAACCTGGTCTACAAAGTAAGTTCCAGGACAGCCAGGACTGTTACACAAAGAAACTCTGTCTTGAAAAACAACAACAACAAAATCAATAATGATGTCCTTACATTAAAATCCTATAATGGACAGGAC